GTTGAAGAAACTTTTAGGAGAGTGACTGGTGATCCTGATGTCAGCAGCTGTGCAGCAGGACCCAGTTCTGTGTGTTCCTGTGCCCATGCAGGGTGTGGAGCAGGCAGCTGCTGCTCCTTGTCTGCGCTCTGCATCCTCATATGCTCCTGTCGTGCTTCTTTCTGCAACCGCTCTGCCTGACCAGGTGTTAGTACAGTTATCTCTTCTGTGAGCTTGTAAAAGAATTGGATTTGGGTTTTGTTCTTTTAAATGTGACCCACAACAGAAAAGATACAATGCCAAAATACATCCAGCCCTACAATAACTTTGGAAAAGTCTGGTGCATCTGGTGAAAGATCAGATCTGTGTTTGGGCTGATACCCCCCATGGGCAAACTCTGCAGATGCTGTCTAGCGACTCCTCTGCAAGCAGCCTGAGGTGCCACAGATGAACCCCAACTGCCCGCCTGTCACACCTCGGGTGCCCCACACTGCCTGGAGCCTCTGTGAGGGGTTGTGGCTTTGGGTTTTCCTTTGCTGACAGATGCAGGTGAAAACCAGATGTGATGCTCAGCTCCAGCTCCCTCAGGAGAGGCAGCTGGGATGGGGGCAGTTCTTTGGGCTAATGGAGCGAGTCCCTCTGCGCATCTCCTGCTGCAGCAGGATGGTTGTGGCAGCGCTTCCTTCTTTCCATCCAGGCCATGAAGATAACCCAGTAATGTGCAGAGATGCTCACACACAAATTTAGGAGAAGGTCATACATTGGTTTTGCTGGTGGGTTGACCTGGGCTGGCCACCAGGTGCCCACCCAGTCAGTCCCCCTCCTCAGCTGGACAGGGGAGAGAAAATGTAACAAAAGCCTCGTGAGGTAAAATAAGGACAAGGAGAGATCACTCACCAGTTATTGTCACAAGCAAACCAGACCTGACTTCATTTATTACCAATCAAATTAAAATAGGGTCATGAGAAATAAAAATTAAATCTTAAAACACTTTCCCCCCACCCCTCCCTTCTTCCCAGGCACTAGTTCAGTCTCAGTTTCTCTGCCTCCTCCCCTCCAGTGGCACAGGGCGACAGGGAATGGGATGTGTGGTCAGTTCATCACACGTTATATCTGCTGCTCTTTCCACCTCATGGGGAGGACCCCTCACACTCTTCTGCTACTTCAGCATGGAGTCCCTTCCACAGGAGACAGTCCTCCAGGAACTTCTCCAATGTGCGTCCTCCTCATGGGCTGCAGTTCTTCACAAACTGCTTCAGTGTGGGTCCCTTCCATGGGTGCAGTCTTTCTGGAACAGATTGCTGCAACGTGGGTCCTTCATGGGGTCACAAGTCCTGCCAGCAAACCTGCTCAAGTGTGGGCTCCTGTCTCCACAGATCCTGCCAGGAGCCTGCTCCAGCATGGATTTCCCACAGGATCACAGACTCCTTTGGCACATCCACCTGTCCTGACATGGGGTCCTTCATGGGCTGCAGGCAGCTATCTGCTCCATTAACCTCCATAGGTTGCAGGAGGACAGCCCGCCTCAACTGGAGCACCTCCTCCCCCTCCTTTTTCACTGACCTTGGTGTCTGCAGAGTTGTTTCTCTCACATAGTCTCACTTCTGGCTTCCAATTGCTGTATTACAGCAGCTTTTTTCCCGTCTTAAATGTTATCCCAGAAATGCTACTACCATTGCTGGTTGTCTCAGACTTGGCCAGCGGCAGGTGTGTCTTGGAGCCAGCCAGCATTGGCTCCCTCAGACACAGGGGAAGCTTCTAGCAGCTTCTCACAGAAGGTACTCCTGTAACACCCCCCCTACCAAAAACGTACCACACAAACACTTGGAAATTGTTGGGTTTAATGGTGCATTGTACTTTCACAATGATACTTCTCTAGAGTGTCCTTTCTGCACCTTCATTTCATCATAAACTTCCCAACCTGAATGGCCTAAGTTTTTGGGAGCTCTCTGCCACATCAAGAAAATGGGATGTGCTGTGTCCTGTAGTTCACCAGCAGCCAGGAGGATGTTCTTGGCAAGCTGCTTGGAGACTAAGGCTGAGACTCGCTTCTTGGTGCCATTGGTTTGTTTTCTGATGACCTGACTTGCTTCTACTTTGGGACTTTACATCCGTTTGCAGTTGAGACCCTGCTGATCTCATCTTGCAGACAGTGTCTTCCAGGCTTGAGATAGCTTCCCTCAGAGCCCATGAAGTCTGGCTTCTTTTTTATAAAAATGTGATTGCATTAGGAAAGAATTAGTCTTTGAAAAGCATGAAAAGCAACCTGAAACTAAAGCATGATAAAGAGTTCGTGCCTCTGTCTCCTCTTTATATCATGGAAAAATATGTGCTCTGATGAAGTGTTCATAAGGCCTGGGAATCTTCCCAGGAATCTGCAGAGACACTGTAGTGGAAGCATCCATCAGCCAACAGAAACCTTATAAACCATTGGTGTAAAGGTACGTTATCTGCTCACTGACGTTTTTACTGAATTGAATCCTAAGCCATCTATTCAAACACTTGCTTTGATTGGAGGAGGAATATTGTTAGCCTGATACTGATTTTGAGCTATGTAATTGAGACTGTGTTTGAATTTTATCGTTGCTGTGACATAGAGTAGGAGGTGTGATTATGACACTGGGTATCAATAGACCTGCTGAAAAGGCCTCTGCTCCATTAGATTTATTCTGAATGTCTAATCTTAAGTCATATTCTCCAACTTCATTGTAGCTTGTCTGAGAGAAAAACATCTAAGAAATATAGAGTGGGACACTTCCACTGAAAATGGATGTTGCTGCGTGAGCTGCAGTTGAGCACAAGGCACCCTAGCTTGCTTTCAAACACTTGGCATTTGTTAATGTTTTGATGGTAGGATTTCATACCGCGTACCTTGTGGGGGAGGACTGCGGAATGAACCTTTCAGAAACTGGCTGTTGCCAAAGCAGGAGGTCATTTCAGGTTCACCCACCAACTCATAGCAGTGGAAGTTGCCAGGTTATGATTCCCTTTCATCTGCCTGCCGACTGTGCTTTGGAGGGCAGTACAGATCATCAAGACAAGTCCCCAAGAAGTGTGCTTGGGAGGCTGAGAAAAGAGAGATCCACCACCTACGTGGATCAGAAGGGGCCAAAAATGAGCATCAGGTTGGTGGGAAATGTACTGGCATCCTGGGGAGGCAAACGAGCTCTGGTGTTTGTGCAGCTGTTGCTAAGTCCATGTTGGAGTTGGACCTTGGGTGTTCATTGTGGCTCAAAGCCTTCATCACACTGCAGAGATGTTTCAGGGTAATCCTTGAAATTCAGATGCTGGTGATGATTTTGCTGTGGGCAGGGACCACTCCTCTCTTCAAGGCTGTGTTACTTCTTGACAGGCTCAAGTAATGAGGGCACATCAATTAATGTCAAGTGTCTGGGTGTCTCTTTTGTGTTTGCAACGTGAAGAAGAAAAGATGGAAATGAATCCAGCATGTTTTCTGACAGCTGTTGGTGGGATTAGTTGTGCAAAGAGTAGTGTGAAGTTTGAGTTACGGACAACATATTCACTGTTGTCCCCAACTTCTGGGTGTCCCTCCTGTAGGTACTGGCAATACTCCTATAAACTGTATTGCCTTGGAATGGGGAAAGACAGACGTGTTGATCAGGGAAGCTGCCTGTGGGCCCCTTTACATCTTCCAAACCAAACAAAATGCCTGCCTTGTAAAACTCCATTTTTAATCGCTTCATATTGAGCTAAAAATGTGGGGCCTGATGTCAAAAATTGTGAAGTCCTCTGTGATGCACCTTTTCTTGGAGATTTTTCTTGGAGAACTTGCTGCTAATCTGTTCAGATGGACATCTCTTGGGAAAAGGGATCTCTGCAGTTGTTTCTAAGCCTGAAGCTCAGGATGGGGATACATAGTGGTTCGCTAGGTTGTGAGCTTTGTGAAGGATTCATGTAATATTTGGGGGAGGTGGAGTGTGGGGTGGTCACACTTTCATAGCAGAGGACAGGAATAGGCTCATACACAAGGAAGAAACATTCAGAGGAGAGAGGAAAGCTGCATGCTAGAGCTGGTACCACAGGAAAAGAAGTTTTCAAGATCGCTGAGGAAATTTAGGCAGAAGGATGTGCATTGGTATGTAGCTGTTTGGTCTAGTTCTGCATTTTGTGTGCAGGTGAAATAGTGGCTGGTTCGGGGGACTCTGAGTAAAGCCCGTCTAATTCTGTTCTCTTGTATCCCTGTATTGAAAGAGTGTACCTAGAAGTTGGGGCCTTGGGGAAGGACAGGGTGTAGTTTACAGTTAGATGTAGGCAGTGAGTGTACAGCTTGTGGGATATGGTACCATCTCCACAGCAGGATCTGAAACCCTTTGTGAAGAAAAACACCAGAGTGGAGAAGGTTGGGAATGCTGGATGCTGGGCCAAGCAGTGAGCACCAGGAGGGGACCAGCTGTGATGGTGCAGCACTTTGGTGGCTATCAGAAGGACAGAGCAGAGCCAGCATTGCTCTTGGGGGTCAAATCTGCTAACTCTGTCCAGCTGCTGCACAGATGTGTTTGTGCACTGGAAGTGCGTAGGGAAGAGGAGCGTGGTTGGTGCTTCCAAAGTATGCAACGAAACCGAAAACTTTGCCAGCCAAGAAATATTATGTAAGATGGAAGTAACTGCACATGATAAATCCTGCGTTCTGGTGCCTGAAGTGGAGCAGTGCGGGTGCTCTTTTCTGCCCTTCGTCATCAGCAGTGGGACAATCTTTGTTTAGGGTCATCTGAACAGGGACCTAAAGGGAGCTCTGCACTACAGCAGCACCAGATGTGGGCCCATATGAAAATGGGGGCCTATGTGAAAATGGGAACCTTTGCATGTGAAAAAGGCAAGTTTCAGTTTGGAAACAACAAGCAAGACCTTGCAGATTCTTCCAGTCTGAAGCATGGAAGCTACTGGCAGCAATTATAAGTGCTGGCAGACGTGGTCAGGTTTTGCATGATCTGGCCAATAAAATGCTGAGATTTCTCCCATCCCCCTGGAATGGGAAAGATTCAACCTGTTGTGCAGTGGAGATGGACTTGCAGATCTGTACAGCTTGGGACTACTGTGCAGCTGGGGGCATGGTAGGCCCCTACGAAACCTCACCAGATGGAGGGGAAGAGAGCACACTTGCTAGGCACAGTGAGTCACGGTGATCTTTCTTTTCGAGTTGGAGAGTATATCTCTCCTTGTTACTGCCTCCAGGATGCTGTGAAGAAACTCATGCCAGAATCATATGGGGGCATTCCTTTACGAGTTTTCCACACCCTGCATTTCTTGCTTCCTCATCCTACCTAAGTAGGAGGATTTTTAGTTGCCTTCACAGTCACTTTTTCATGCCTGCAGCTCCTGATTTTAAAAGAATTTAAAAACTGTGTGTGCACCTGGAGCCTTGCTGTCCGTGTGTCCTCCAGGGCAAAAAGCCTTTATGTCATCCAAGGATCAGTAAAACTGTGTTACTCAGCTGAACTTTGGTTCAATATGTCTTGTAACGATCTCCTGTATGGATGACTGGTTGAAGTAAGAAGGATTACGCTTGAACAGTGAGATCTTGGCGTTGCCACCAGGGGATTCTGTGGACAACTTGTTTTTTCTTGTGTAACTCCCTTTGCCTAGGAGGGAAGGGTGTTGTGTCAAAGATGAAACTTGAAAACAAGGTATGTGTGTTGTGTGTGACCCAGAGTGGAGTCTCTGAGAGCCTAGTCCCAGCTGCACCAATCTGGGGGAGGAACTTCCTTTGATCTCTTTGGGCTTTGAAGCAGATGTCTGAGGGTGAGATCTGCAGACAGCTCAGCTGCACGCTCAGCTCTTGTTAACTTCTATATGGCAGAAGCAGGTGCTGAACCTTTCTGCTGAAGTGGGGCTTTGAACTTTCCGTGCTTGTTTCCTCACATTGTAACAGTGGAAGAATACTTCTTTTTTTTCCAACAGATATTAGCCAGATATTAGATATCCCGTCATCTGGGAAAGCTTGCTGGAATACTTGGGTTATTTATTAACATGGTGTTAAACAAAGCTGGTGATTACACGCCCCACTGAAAATAGGAAGTAATTCAAATCCCATCCATGCAGCTGGCAAGGGACACATCAAACCAAAAATGTTCATTTTTACAGCCATCATGAAAAACCCCAAAGGATTACAGGGCAGATTGTTTTGGTAATGGAACGAAACACGATAAAGCCTTCATTTTGTTTCTGAATGCTGGAAGACTCTTTTCCAGTACCTATAGGGAGTAACTAGCAATTGAGGGTCAGCTAACTTTTCCGTTTTGTTTCTTTAGAGCTCGTACTTATTTGTCTTTGCCCGTTTCAGTCAGGCTGGTGTAAGGAGGAGCGTGCAGAGGAAGCGCTGCCCCGCGCCCTCCAGCACAGCAGTAACTCTGTTTTGCAACGTGTGTTGGCAGTGTTCGTACATCCCTCCCTGCGCAAGAGATGACCAGGAGAACTCTGAGAACGTCACGTACAAGCAGAAATATTGGAAAGAGAAAGTGGGTTCGCAGCCATTTACGTGCTACTTTAACCAGCACTTGAGGTGAGTAATCTACATTTGCATAGGCAGAAGTGCTCATGCATCTGTTTAACAGCTGTCCGTTGGTGCTGTTTGGATATATGTATAAACGCATGCATATGTATGTACACACACAACCGTATAGTGGTGTGGTTTATCACACAGGCTGTAGTGCAGAGCTTTGCAAGACGGCTCTATTGATGAAAAGCTACATAGAAAGCAGAAAAATGTTTTTAACGCTTGAAGTAAAAACGTAAAACTGAGGAGAATTTCCCTCAAAGCGTGTCATTTTATGGCAAAAAGCATCCTGGCTTTTAGCGCTCTGACTTCCAGATTTCTGGCTTGCATGTTAACAATCCCGTCCTCCATAGAAGAGAAACCCTACCGTGTTCATGAGGGGCTGGAAGAAAAGGGAAGGTCAGTAAATAGTACCAACCAAGTCAGGAATTGTGTTCATAGAGGATTAATAAATGAATCAGACATGTCTAATAAACATTCACAGAACTGCTGGGTTTCATATGTTCTTGCAGAGTAGAAAGTTGTGACTTAAAGCATCTCCTCTGTTTCAGTTCTTACTTTTACTACCAGTATTGATACATGTGTATAAAGGTGATGTGTGGTTTCCTTCCTTCAATAAATGTGAAGAGGAGGGAATCTTTTTGCCTGTCTCTTTCTGATGATGATGATATTCCAGGAAATAAAAGGTGATGTAGCAGCAGCTACCTACTGTAACTGCAGTGTGCAAGATCACTGGGAGAACTTGGGAGAGCAGCAAAGATTGAGCTGAATTGTTCATGTAGACAGGGAGGCAGAAAAAGAATATTTAAGATCTCCAGATAAGCCAAGGTATTATGTGGTTTAGACTACAATTCTAGAGACATATGACACTTACTTAGTTTGATCAGCATGGGTAATTTTGGTAGAGCTGGGGAGACTGTACTTGGTTGCTAAGTTAAGCACTCAAATATCTGCCACATCAGAGACTAAACAAGGAGGTTGATCCTACCCCAGCAACACCTGGAAGTTAAGCACATGAGGGAGACCTAGGTGGGAATAGCTCAGTGCTTGCTGATGTAATTCAGGGCTCAGTGTGGACATCAGATCTTGAGGTTTATTAAGACACATGGTAGGAAAATGTGATGCCAGTGTATGCTAGGACATTGGAGCTGGAGGAGGGAGGCAGGAAGAAAGATGCCCATGAGTGGCCCATTGAGGGTAGACCATTGAGTGCCTTGAGAGCTTCAGGATTGCCCTAGGCTGGCTATGATTGTTGTCCCCTCCTTGGGGAGACTGTAGACCTAGTCGGCGTGCCCAGGATAACAGTCTGTTGTTCCTGGATAACTCTTTGCAGAGGGAAGCCATCAATGCTTTGTAACAAGAGCTAGTTGTTATAGTGGAAAAGAAATACAGCATGCACAGGTTAAAACTTAGGGCACCCTCTGCGGTGCCATCAGACCTGTCAGGAACCTTCTGGAGAGCTGCTTTGATTCACAAGGTGCCAATGCGTGGGTCTGTGAAGCAGAAGCCAAATGATGATTTTGGCTTGTCTGGGCAGGTAGAGTCCCTGAGACCTGGGACCTGCAGCAGCCACTGCCTGAGTCAGCAGGACAGCCATAAACATGGGATCGTCTGCAGGAGACATCATGGCTAGGATTCATCTGAGCTGGTGTGCACAAGATACTGTGGAAGTCAGCTTTTGTAGTCAGTGGAGAGAAACAGGAGCCTTTCATCTTACCCAAAAATGAATGCCTAATATGGGTTGGATGAATAGAGATGTTTATTCCTCTCCTGTAAAGGAGCTTAGGGTGATCTGCTCATGTGCGTGCACCTAGGTGGTAGGTGTCCAGAGCTAGGTGTGCTGGTTCTCACAACATATCTGTAGGTGAAGCAAAGGCAAAAGTTTTGTGAAGCTTCCTACTGCCTAGTGTCCATCATTTATGTAGATAGACACCAAGGAATTATGCAGCACTCAAGGAAAGGTTATTCCCTTATGGTTGCCACATCCTATACTATTAAATGTTCTGCCAAATGCAACGGCTGCCATGAAACGCTGCCTTTTGCTGAACATACAACTATTTATATACAGCAGAAGAGAGGCTCACTGCCAGAGATACTTGAAGATAGGCTGAGCTGAAATGTGTACACCATCTATTTTCTTCTGGATATAGGAATGAGCTTTGACAGATCACTTTTGCTGACTAGGAAAGTGCTTGCTGAGGTATACTTTTAGAGCTACAGTGACTAAACAGAGTGTGAAGCAGTAAAAAAATACAAACTGAGGGGAAAATTTGTTCTCTTCAAAATGGAAATGTGCATATTTTCTGTCAGTATTTTTTTAGCTGTGTGGGTGAGCTAACTTTTCTATGCCAGTCTGTATAAAACAAAAAAATATAGTGGTAAGTTCCTTAGAAAGAGTAGTATCTGCAATATTAATACTCTCTTTCGAAGCTGTGGAATAAAATTCTAGGTAAACATCTAGGCAACAAATGAACATTGTCTTCTCTTCACCAAACTTAATTTAGCATCATTCCCAGAACTGCTGCTGAATGCAGAGTGCATCATTAGGTAGCACCTCCCTTCAGTTTGGTGGGGCACATTTCAACAGGCTGCTTGGAAAAGAAGAAGAAAGCAATGCCATTTATACAGTTCAAAATTATACAAAAGGGATGAGAAGCAAACTTGGCAACTTTCATCATTCTTGGCTAATATAAATAGAGAGGCCCAGCACAACTAGCTGTCTGATATTTATCTTAAGGAACAGGATGCAGCTCAGCTTGCTGCCCAGTGTTCAACTGCAAATGAAGGTTCTGCTTTGCCATTGTAGGCACTTTGCTTTAATGCCCCACTCTTCTTTGACTAGCTTCAGACCCAGTGGTGCAAGCTGCATGGGAAGGCTGCTTTTCTGGACCTCTGGTGAAAGTGCTGCTGGCGTGACGATACGCTGGTCTGAAGGGAGCCCTGCCCAGCAGAAACCAACTCCCAGTGTTCCAGAGCACAAATTAAATTACAAATTCAGATGAAGTTCTCAGGCTGTTGCCAAAGGTTTGAGAAGGCACTCAGCTCTAGTGCTTCAGTGTTGATGAATCTCACACTGGATGTCCCAGGGGGCCCACAGTCATGACCACACGCAAACAAGGGTCACAGCTGGATGCCTTGAAGTGGGAGGCATGTGGGCATGGGCAGGATGGGAAAGATCCTGACACTTTATTTCTTCACATTCCAGGTCTCATTGACATGAACAACAAGAAAAAAAAAAAAGAGAGAAACCAAGATCTTCATCAGCTCAGACCTCTCAGTCTCGTGCCATGCATGCAGAGACAGGCAAAGCAGCATATGTCAAGTCATTTCTTATTAGTGGCTCCTTTATGTGGCATTATTGCTTTTTAGCACTGGGTTCATCCAGCAAAGCAAGAATGCTCTGTGGTTCCTTTACCACAGCGCAGCAGATGAGCCAGCCACACTTTATACTTCTCTGTGTTTGCTGCAGGATGCCGCACACAAATTGATCTGAGATTTGAAGACCAAACACTGTGTAGTGACCAGCGACCACATCAGTGGTATTTGGGTACCCTACAGACCATTTTCTGGGAACAATTATCTTCAGAAGCTGAGGGTGCTCAGCTAGCAGAGCTGCTTGTTTATAAATAGTGGAACAGAAATCTTGGGTTGTTCTGGTACTTCACAAAGTTTTCTAATTTAATTCCCTCCAGTCAGAAGATGGTGCTGCTGTTTCTTATCCTTTCTTTTACTGTGTCACCTGTGGAGCAGTGCTCAGGCCCGAGAGGGAAAGGGCTTTGTTGTCAGTGAGACACAGCACTGCCCCTTCGTGCAGCTGTCCAGCTGAGGGCCTCTGTGTCTTGCAATCACAGAAGGAAAAAAAGGCTGATGAGTGCTTGTCATAGTGAAGGGATGGGAATAATTGTGGGCAAAGGAAGTGTATGCAGATTGCAAACATCTTTAAATCCATATTGTCTGAATACAAAGAATAGTTGTAAGGTTTTCCTATCCCATGCCCCTGCCTTTGTCATCTTTTGCTGTGCCACATATATTGCACAGTGTGGTGCACAAGTGACGACTGAATTGTTTATGTATCTGTAACATTTTGGTCCTATGTGACTTTTTTGGTGACCCCTGCACTGCAATTCTTCCCATGTTGTCCAGTAATTGCTTAGGAGGGTCTGATGAAGGCCTGCTTTATCCAGTGTCTGTTTGAACCCTTTGGCAGGGCCTAACAAGGATGTGTTGCACAATGCAACAACTAACTCTGTTACCCCTGGTCAGAGCCTCACGAGGCTCCAGCCCTGACCTCAAAGCTCTGGTAAGAATAAGTACTGCTCTCACCTCTTAGCAGTGAAAACAAAATTCCTCCCTCCTTGTCTGTTCAGTGAAAGGGAAAGGTGTGTTTTCAGAGTTAAGGTAGAGACTTCTTTAGGGCTTTCCTTTCACCCTTGGACTGCTGCTGGGCAGTGGTGGTGGTGCTGCACATCCCTGTTTGCAGCAGAACCAGGCCTCAATGCCTGAGCAGGGTTTGAAAGTGTTCAGGTTTCTTTCCCCTCGTTTGTCCCACCAGGTCTCACTCTTGCCTTGCTGTTGTTTTGTGCACTGATAACTGGTGTTCTGGTGTTAGGAGTTTGGGTGCATCCCCTCAGGAAGCTTTGCATTTACTAGAGAGCTGAATGGCACCATTGCTAGAAACAAAAGATGGTCCATAGCCAAGCTTAGGAGGCATATGTGCAACCCCTCTGGTCAACAGCTTTGAAATGAAGTATTCTGCGGAAGTCACAAAGAAAACACGGGCTTATTAAATGCACTATACTTGCAGGGCAAATCAATATCTTTATTTACATCTGCTGATTTTCACAGGAAAAAAAACCACTTTTCTAGGCATGACATACATCCTCTGGGTTCAGCGTTTCTGCCTCAGCACTGAAGGAGTGATGCTGTGGGGGCTTCCAGCAAAGCTGGGTCCTTGTCATGACAGGATTTCCCTCAGGGGCAGGGGCACCTTCCCCTTTTTGTTTCTC